TTACCAACATACTAAACAATATACTGTATACCAATGTACCAAATGGTGTACAACAAATGGCAATACGTTTTGACAATCAAACGGAATGGCGAAATATGAATTTCTCAGTGAAAAATAATATGAAGCGAAGAGCTACTAGTTAAAATAGATTTTTGATGAAGGAGAACTAGGAAATTGGCAGACTGTTGATTGGATATCGATTTAAGTGACATCAGGGAGCCTAAATATGCTAAACTTTCTGACGTCTGGTAACCCTAATCTTGATGGATCTTTAATGTTTCGTCTTCTCACGATGATACTACTGTCTAAACAACAGCACTAACAATTTATAATCTATTAAAAATGGACCTTTTGCAGTGAATTATTATTTTGTTAATATTTAAGGTGAAATATTTCGATTTTGATACTTGATAGCAAGGTTTCGAGTAAAAAATCGCAATAAACAGTCTTTCGTTAATATTTGAATGAGAAAGTTTACGTTGTAATTGGTAGTGACAATTTTATAGAAGTTATATTGCGTTAACTTGCTTTAAAAATTACTCTGGAGTCTCAGGATTTCCACTTTATTACATTATTGTGTTGCGCCTTGAAGATACGGTTGTATTAAAAAGCCTATACCTGGCTATCATTTGAGCCATCAGACTCTCACACAATGTAGGTATGACTTAGGCCTGAGCTTCCCCATCCCCCTTCACGGAAATATATGTACGCCACTGTGTACATTCAAATCTGGCGGAAATTTCTGATTCTTCTCAGGCCGGTCTAAAGGTAAATTTTTGCTATCCTTATTCTTAAAAAATAGAGAAAACTACAATGGGACAGTACGGGTGTGCCGAGTTGATATAAAAATTGCAACGTAAAAGTACTCTAGAGTGACATTTGTGAACGTAAAATTTTCCTGGGAGGTTCGTTGATTCATGTACCTTCGCAACTGTTCTATTTCATCATTTCAACCGAATTATAACGGAATATTTATCCATTCTGTATGAAGATCGATTCTGTTGATAACGTTAATTAGGAGATCGTTTATCAAGAGATTATGGAAGTAAAAATTCCTACCTACCACACGACTTCTAAAAGAACCATTTTTTTGTGAATTCTTCGATTTTTAATACTTATAAAAACTTGCAATGAGCAAAATTGTTTAAAACGACTAATAGAAATCTGTATACCATAGGCGCCAGCCTAGTCATTTTGTTGCAGTTATTAAAAAAAAACAGAAAGAAAAAAAGAAAACAGAAGAAAAAAGAAAGAAAAATAAAAAAAGAAAAGAAAATAGAAAAAAAATAGAAAAGAAATACAAAAGAAATAGAGAAAAGTTAAAAAAATAAAAAAAAGTACCACTCGTACACCAAATGGTACTTTAGTGAGATTATTATTCTTTAATTTGTAACTTTTATCAAAAATAAAATTTTCTAAAAATTGAACAATTAAAAAACGTATTATTATTTTTACAATCTGTATTGTCACGACTACCTTCCTCTATGAAATAATACAACTTTATTTCGGATATAGGATCTTACCAAAACATACCATTTGGATAATAGTGACAACGTAATTAAAGCCAATTCCAAGATAAAATAAAACTTATTTATCTACGATAAATGCAGACACAGATAGGGCAGGATACCATCTCCAACCACACAACCAGAGGATGTCCACAAGTAGTTATATACTCACTAATGTGGATCCTAACCGAAGACGAACTCCTAGGCATACCCTGTCAAGGTTATGCCGATGACATAATCATACTTACTAGAGGTAAGTTTGGAAATATCCTGTGTGATTTAGTCCAAAGAGAACCAGTACACACCAAAAGATGGAACCGCGAAGTAGGACAGTATAAACCTCAAACTCAAAACCGTCAAACTTCTCTGGAATATACATGAAAAGAAAGTAGTAAAAATAAGGCTACAAAAGGCCTTATTTTATGTAGAAACATTGCGAGTAAAAGATGGGGATGTAACCCGAACACACTGTAATGGATGTATACAGCAATACTCTTACGGGGTCTGGACTGGAGTCCCTGGACAACCCTTGTCTGCTTCGCTCTGCATACGTACTCAAGATGTGCTCAAGATCTAGCAATTTGAAGAGCACAGGGGAAACATTATGAAGTGGAGTGGGGTAGAAAGATAATAAAATAGTATAGACACTATGCACAATTTCATTTATCACATTTTGTAAACAAGATGCAGCGACGGTTAAAGAACATTTTGTGCAACAATTATAAAATAGTGCATCGGAAAATAATTTACATGTATAATATAATACTAAATTGAAATCAAAGCACAAAAAATCACAAATATAAGCAAACCAATAAAGAACCGATGCCAAAAAAGCTCACAACAGCCACAACACAAACAAAAAACAAAGTTAAACATGAACATAATAGCTGAACAAAGTCAAGCCTGGAATTTGTTTACTGTGCTTTAGGGCAACCTATCTTTGTCATTATACGGGGTGAGTCGGGAGGAGCGCACCAAACTCTAGGAGTATATTATACACGTGAAAATAATGTAAAAAACTCATATGTTCTTATCCGATTTTCATTTGTTTTCAAGTTATGGCGTAATTAAAAATGTTCAATCTTTCCACTTCTGAATTTTAACATTATCAAAGTATGCCATATGTTCAAGGCTCAAAGGCATTTGATAATTCTGACGTTTTGATGAACTGTCAGTGTAAAGAAGAAAGAAATTAATCAATTAGGAGAGCAACAAACGCTCTTCGTAGACGAAGCAGAAAATGTTTAGAATTCAATGGCGGTATTTTTGAACATTTATTAAAAGAACGCTATGATTAAGAGAATGTTAATGTGTAAATTTGTTTATTTGTTAATATGCTATAACTTTAAAATAAATGAAAATCGGATAAGAACATATGAGTTTTTTTACATTATTTTCAAGTGTATAATATACTTCTAGAGTTTGGTGCGCTCCTCCCGACTCACCCTGTATAATTATAATTCAATCGACTATTGCACTATGAGAAATAAACTGAAAGTTTTTTCTATAAACTAATTTTAGACAGATTAATAATAACTTTTTTATAAGAAAGGGCAACATTTTGATAAGAAAAATTGTTCAATAAGATGTAAGTATGTACACTTTTTTGTTTTTATAGGAAACTCCTGACATCTGCATCAAAATTTGGTCCAGTTTTCCAAGAATGAGAGGAGAATACTATTAATTTCACTTACAGTTGTTATTTGTACATGTTATGTATGTAATAAATGTTTAAATGCACCTTACTTTTATTAAATGATTAAACTATACCTATATACCTGTTGTTTCAAATATTTTAATATATTTTTAATTTATATTTTTTGGAGTTTTATTACTTAAAAAACTAATATTTATGTTAAGTACAGTATTTTAATGTAAATATTAGTTTTTTTAAAGTAATGAATGCCAAAAAATGTAAATAAATAATAAAGGACATTTGAATGTCGATGGCTTGAGTGCAAAACGTCGTAACCCCAAAAAGTAAATTTTACAGGGGAATAAAAAACCAAATAGACTTTAGATGTAATTTCGAAGAGCAACTTTTTGTTTTGGCGCGTAAAATTAATTTCATTTTATACTGTTGCTTACGATAGTTTTACACAAGACGAAGCTAAAACATACGACTCCAATGGCGCAAAAAGCGATTTTTTTAAAATTTTGTAGGTTGGTAACTCAAATGGAAAAACATGAGGAAGGTAATTTAGTACCACTCCAATTAACGGGATGGCGCTCGTATCGAAATGTCATGTCAGTTGTCAGCTCGTCAAAACTTCAAACTTGAAGAAATAAAATGGCTATTGCATTTGTTTGAAGGTATTGAATTTTGATTCATCTAGAATCTAGATTTATTTTTCAACACCTTCCAATTTTAAGCATGTTTTCAAAAGATGGGAAAATGGATTTCAGCAACAAACAATAAAGCACTCCCAGATATTGGTAGTGATGCAATTTATACCACATTAAATATGCAGTCGTCTTATTAAGGATAACCAAATAATTTGTAATAAGTGTCTTAAGAAAAATGCACCATTATTGTTTGGCACCAAGTAATATTTACAAACTTGTTTTTGATTCAGTGTTAAAATAATTGGTTTGTTATTTAAATTTCTTTTTGTTTTCAGTTTTTAAATGATCATTGTTATAAAGAAAATGTTGGCCCTCCAAAATACCCTGTCAATCGATGAAATATTTGAGCCTCAGTCATCAATATCAAAAATTGATTCAATGCAATTGACATCAAACAAGAAAACACCCTAAAACTTCAAGGTTCCAAACGTGTGTAAGTTTAATTTATGCTCAAAAGTTAAATTCATTTATCACAGTGCCCACATGATAAATAAAAATTTGATAACTACAAGTGCTGTATAAATGAATCAAGAAAACAATTATCGGATGAAGAAATGCTCCTCAACCTAACTAGTCGACTCAATAACCGTATGGCAAATTTTATCCACACTCAAATTTTCCTGGATAGTAAAAAAGGATCATGCTTCAACTTCAATTTTTTTAAACTTATTTGCCACTTCAAGTCGCAAAACTTTTATAAAGGTCTTGAGCACTTATATATGCTGATTTTGTTACAGAAAACATTTTTGATGGGTTTATTTTATAAATATTTAATTATTTAAATGGTGTAAATGCATATTTGTTTGAGTATTTCCATGTTTAAATAGACAAATTATATGATGCGGCGTTAATTTACTGTAATAAAAAAAATAAAATAATTTGCATTTTATTTCAAGTTTGAAATTAATGCAAAAATATAATGAAGTAAAATCAAATAAAGATAAAAATTGGCAAAATATTTGACTAGTTTCAAATCACAAAACAGTCAATATGGTTGTTTTATGATTTGAAACTAGTCAAATATTTTTCCAATTTTTTTCCTTTATTTGATTTTCTTCATTACATTTTTGCGCTACTACAAAGTTAAATTTCAAAAAGCTCGCTAGTGGCGGCCATATTGAATTTTAGTACCACTCCAATTTGATAGATGGCAGCACATCGACTCAAAATTTTACCATTAAGTTTCCCATCTATTCACATTAGTAATCTATGATCCTACCATTAGAAGTCAAAGAGTATGGAATAATTGAAAGAGCTTGAATTGCCGAATTCGACTTATTTTGACGTATCTGTCAGAATCAACCGTCAAGTCAAGAGTGAGGATTTAAAAATTTAAAAGTTGTTTTTGTTTACAATTATTTTAAAGCAGCAAGTAGTGCAGCATGGATTCCTTTTTTGAAGGCCCGAGAAATGCTCCAGAACCAATTTCCATTGAAAAATTTGCTTACAGACCCAGCGCACCCGAAGTATCAATGATCTGTAACAACAAAACTCCTATAGATAATTTTTGTCATAACGATTCATGGAAGCGACATCACCAAACGGAAAAGCATGATTTTCAACAGAATTGCGTACCGGGTGGGTATAGGAACTTGCAAGAACAATTTTCTAAGAAGCAAGTTAGATTTGAAAGCCCGGTTCTGCAGGAAAAGCCCGCTTTTAATTACCCACATTGTAAAAAGCCGGTGGAGGCTAATCACACAGATTTTGGCGAGTTTAGTGCAGCCCGTAAGCAGCAATTGAACGTTCTCAAATCTAACAGTCCGAAACCGTTTGAGAGAATATACATGGCAAATATTCCGGATAGGAAATTAGATTTAAGTCTTTTAGACATACCCAAACCAATTGAAAGCAAAAATATTCATAGCAGGAAAGAAATTAATGAATTATCAGAAAAAAAAGATAACAGTGATGATGCTGAGGTTAAAAAAGAAGAGACTCTAAAGAATTTCAAAAGTAAAAATGATGTACAAGTCGAAAACAAGGAAAACTGCATGCCGAAAACTTACCATGACTTTTTAGAATTACAGAAAAAAATGACCATTAGAAAACATAAAGAACATAACGATTCTGTGACAGATATTTTTAACTATAAGAAGAGTAAGCAATCATTAAACAACAATTTGTATTCAAAAAACGATGTTAATATTGTTCAAAAATCAACAGATAATCAAATTTTATATGATAGATATCACGATTATGGTCAATATCAAAGTTATAGACCTGCAGATACAAATCTAGATCTGGTGAAGCATAAATATGACTCTGAGACCCAAACTGATGTTGAAGATGATGCAAATTCAAGGGCTTTACAGAATAAAAAAGATTGTGAACCATCTAATACTGATTTATTGAAAATTATAGCACAGCAGAATGAGCAGTTATTGTTACTCCAGAGGCAGGTAAGTTAGTTTTTTTTTGTTTCTGGTGGTCCTCAACTTTCCCATTTGAGACCTTTATTAATAATAATGCTCTCCCTAATTCACCCCTTTACCAGTGAATTTTAACCCCAAAAGCTGAGCTTGCCCAGAGAAGGGACAGTTATTATTATTTGCCATGCCATGGTTCCATTTGATTTACAGGTGAGAAAAATCCCACCCACCATCATCGAAACGGTAATGCATGGCAATTTTTATAATCTGTATGTCATATCAATAAAAATTAAATTTCTGCTAATATGGCATGCATCAAATCCTACAACGAACCATACAAATTAATTAAAAATTCACATGGTCTGCTGTAGTATTCCAACCACAAAATTGTTTGCAAATGAATGCAAGCACTTAATACACCTACACCACTTCGTTCATTTATTATTAATGTGACCTTGTTAAACATTACATGGAAATACTTTTTGCAGATATTATTGTTTGTGATCTTATTGTATATTGTCTCTTAAATAAGTAGGTATGTCCAAGATGAGTTATTCTAATCCATTACATCCAGTAAAGAAAAATTTATAGGAATTCAGAGCTGGGCAGTACTCGATTAAATAGTACTCCAGTACTCAAAGTACTCAGTTATTGGTACTCCTAAATACTTTCATCCTGATGGGACTTAACTCAAAAAATTTCAAGTACTTTATATTTTAGAGTATTCAGTACTTTTGATTCCTTTAGCTGACGAGTAATGAGTACAAGTACCAACGAGCACATATATCTAAAACTTCCACTTCACTTCTTCTTGCTCCCTCTTCTTCTGCTTTCTGCTCTAACACCTGTTGTCCGACCTGGTCTCCTTTTGCTTTTTTCCTCTTCTTTCTTCTCTTACTCATCCTTCTGACAAATTCTCTTTCCTGCTAAGTTCTCCTTCCTATTCAATTCACACTTATCTTTAATTTAAGTAAAACTTTTTTTTAGTTTTCTTTTTTTATTCTTTTTTTTTTATTTCATCTCTACGATATAAAATTTTTAACTTTAATATCTATCTATCTTAACTTCAATATAATATTTTCTGACCTTTTTTTGAAATTTCCCAACTGACAATTCTAAAACCCTCTCTCTGTCAATCTTCCCAAAATATATTTGACAATTCCTTTAATTTTCAAAATTCCACTACCATCGGGCTCACAACCCTAAGGCAATGCCAAATAACTTATCGACGTCAACAATACAGGACGGGAAAGATAAGAATATATCAAATGATGGAATCATGGCAACATAATGTTTAAAAATATATGACTTTTTTTGAGTATTCTCTATATGTATCGCTCCCCTACCTAATATTCCTTTACATTAACATTAAAATGAGAAGTTGGGTGTACACGTTAATGATAAGTGCTAAGTAACTAATTTATAGAAGATACTTTCGTTTTTTTTTGTTACTTACTGACTTACTATATAATTCCTTTTTTCTAATCTTGAGTCACTAACTAGAATTATTTAAAATAGGTAAGGTACTCATACTCGTTGCTCGATTTTTTCACAAGTACTCCCTAAAATTTGCAAAAGTACTCATTTGCTTTGAGTATTATTCTTATAAGTACTCATACTCAGATACTTATGAGTACTTGATGAAGCTTATCATTGTGAAGTACTCATGAGTGCTTTAATGCAGTACTCTGCCTAGCTCTAGGGCTGTTATTAAAAAACTAAGAACATATTTTATTATTCTAGAATTGAAAGTTCAAATGTGTACATCGGAGGTAAACTACATTATGTCGACATAGTGCAGTTTTATAAAAGTTATTATATTTTTAAACTCAGCTCATTCATTACGTTTGGTCCTCCAAGCTCCTTTAACACTTTTAACTCCAAACGACCCGTTTAGCGTTCGTTTTATTCCAACTAGTGACAGTTCAACAAGCTTAAATGTCATTTAAAATCACCTTAAAACACTTCATTCCTGTCCCGTTCCAGCCCGACTAATCCGAACTTACCTATTGAGACCTTTCCAGAGATATACTATACCATGTATTAGTGAGGTCGCAATAAAAGTTAGCCAAAAAAAAAATATAACACTGTCATTGTTGAATTCTCTAAAATTTCTATAACATAGAAATATGCCATAAAAATCAAATCTGCTATACTGAAAAGTTTACTAGAATTACATAGTGCAGTTTACCTCTGAGAAAAAAAATCTTTTACGAATTATATTGATTCAGAAGCATTTCATTATTGCTTAATTAACGAAAATTTTACTAACAATTTTAAATCGCTTAATGATCCTTTAGATCAATGATAACCCAAAGTGGTCTATATCGACCCCAACAAATGGGTCCATGTGAGTGAAAAAGAATTGGGGTATGTGAGATGTAAACGAGGCTTCAAGATAATCGTATTAATTAAGCAGGTCACGGCTTAAATTTTGACTTTAATTTATTGGAACCCACACACAAAGATTATGTGTTGCTTAGTTTGTAATAATACGGCGTTACTTTGCAATAAAATGTTAATTTTAAAAACACTTATAAGAAATTTTGACTAAACTCTATTCAACTTAAACGCAAGTAACGCATAAACACAATATCCCCTTGACCACAGCATGATACGCACAAGCCCGGCTGCTATTGGCCAGCACAGTGATACTGTTTTGGATGTTTCTCTACCCTCTAGCTCAATGTGCTGTTGTCAAGGAACTATTGTGTTTACGCGTTACTTGTGTTTAAGTTGAATAGAGTTTAGCTCTTTGACATTTAACACCAAATATTACTTACCTTTAATCAAATTAAAACAAGAAATGAGCACATTGACCATATGTTTTCTCAGTCGCTTTCCTAATAGACACGTTTGGGAAAATAGTTTTCAGGAAAGAAAGGGCGCCACTTATTATCTTTTTTTATTTTTAGAAAACTAGTGAGAATTATAAACTTTATCAAAAGAAAATTAATTAAAACTTATATAAGCTTTTAAGTAAAAGAGAATTGTTGTAACCTTCAAAAAATAAGATTGAACATAAATGAATTTTTTTATTTAAGTATTGAGTGAAATTCAAATAACATAATATATATTAAACTGGTACCAACTATTTAGATTTAGATCTCAAACATTCGATAAAAAATTAGCCACATGTCTAGTTACCACTATATTCGTTAGAGTGGCAACTTCTATATAATACAGTCTTACTGTAATTCAGCTCCTCGAGCCCAAACAGCAAATCTCATTCTTTCTTGACATAGTTCTGCCTTACAGAAAACTGTGATCTATCTCCAATGTCAAACATGGAAAATATTTACTGGCTTGGAAGTTTAGGAAGGAATGAAAGAAAATAGCTACTTCTATTCACTTTCTAAAAAAAATAAATTATGTTTTTCACGAGGCTCTTGTATGAGATATAAATTAAATTTTAAACTACTTTTTAAAATTAAATCAAGATAACAATAAAAAACTAATTAATATAGACAATGTGCAATTCCAGCAACCAAAATAAATTACAAAAGCATATTTAATAAATTTAACTTGACTTTCAAAAAATACACTTATAACAACAACAAGTAGAAATATAATTTCTACTGAGATATTTTTTAATGACATTTTTTAACTTACCGCTGTTTACAGCCAGACACTGGTAGTTGGTTCAAGATATCGGAAAATGAAGTTTCGATTTCGATATCGGCTGCCTACTATACTCATGAAATTTCCCATTCTTAGGAATATTGCGTGCGGCGATAATTAAATTTTAAATTAATCGAATACTATTTTATACAGGATGTCACACAATTAAAATAACATGTTTAAAAGGTTACAAGTTCTTACCTCAAGACAAACTAAATTGTACTGTTATAGGGTCCGATTACAATTAGAAGAACACCTCTACGTCATATTATCTATAACTATCAATAAATAAAAAATAAGTAAATTGTTAGGTATAAAAAAATATTTCCTATATCCCTATATTAACACTCCACTAAACCCCCAGTAGGCGGCGATACCAATTACTTTGCCACCTGGTTTACAGTTTATAGCTTAAGAATCAGTTCGCTTACTCTGCGTCGGCACTTTTGATCTCAATGTTCCAGTTTATACACTGCGCAACTCGGATTTGTATTCCTGGCGCATACAGAATCAAATCATAACCAATCAAATATATGACAACCGCCTATATTCAAACAGCAGTCATCTGCGCATCCTGAATTTGTATCCCTGGAGTGGATATTATTTTGGAACATTCAACTGGTCCAAGTGAGCTAACTGATTCTTTAGCAATAAACTGTGCCTGGGTTCTTCTAATTGTAATCGGACCCTAGATTTGGTAAACAAACGTATTTTCGAAATTTTATAATATTAGTAGCGAATTCGTATCTCGTAAAATTGTGTAAGTTAGTAGAATATTTGCTTTGTGATTAGGGTTGCCACATTTTTTTGAGATCAATATAGTAGTTTGTGCAATAAGAGTGGATATGATGGCCATATCGCACGAAGACGAAATTTGAGCACGTCGCCGTAGGCGGAGTGGGATCTGGACAATCCACTCCAGTTGTACAGTATATTTTTTCTACGACCCACTAACGAAAATTTATAAATAAAAAGTATTTTAGGTTATTAAGACAAAATAACTAATTTTACAATATTTTTTTTAATAATTTGGGAAATTTTTTTAATACTCGTAATTGAATTGAATTCATAGTTTTAATAAAATTAACAATTTATTTATAATTTTAGTATAAATAGAAATGCTATTATTTACCGATTCTACACAAAAATAAGTCATTTTAATGTATATTTAAGTTCAATAACTAAAAAATATACTGACAATTAGTTTGACAGAATTATCACTTATTTAAAATTTTAAAAATAATAGTCCTCGGGTGACCAAAATATGAACTGTGATTGGTGGATTTCTCACTATATCAAATGGATATAAAATATATCCGTTCAGTTAATGCCAATTCGCGATTCAAACTAAGTGATACGCCCTCTGGAGGAAATTTGTAGAAGGTGCCTATAAGTAGGATATTGTTCAA